GATCATGTTTTACTTATAAGAAAATGAAACAATCTCAAAATCTATTTTTCTAAAGGAAATGTTTTTCCGCAATTATAAAAATTATAATTTTAAGAGCATACAGATGCTTAAGTGAATTTCTGTTTACTTCCATGTATATTTGTGAATTGTTTTGCGTGTGCTTTACATGTTATTAGTTATTAAAAAGAGAAAAAAAGCTCCTATCTAAAATTCAACAATGGTATTTCTATAAAATAACCCAACCTGTGGGCTTAAAAAAGTGGCATAAGAAAAAATGGACCAGATAGGTGCTCTCTGACATAGCCTTCTTTAAATACCTTGCAAGAATTAAAAAAAAATAAATTCTAAGAATGTCAACTGGCTTAGTTAGTATTCCAGAGGTTCTTTGTTACTTTTATTTCAGTATTTCTAGCAGTGATAAAATTCTCCTGCTTTTGCTTTAGCAGCTTGGGAAATGTAGCAGAAATCCTTCATTTTGAAAAGGGACCTGTGTTACATATGTGAAAGGACAATAGGAAACTATAAAGTACCTTACAAAGGGACAGCCTATTTCTGAGTGGTACTAGTGTAAACAAGAAATGCCTACAGATATTGCCATCAGGCCTAAAGAAAAGACAGAAGAGACAATATCAAGAAACTGAAAAGTTTAGGGAAAAAATTAATAAAGAAATCAGGTGAGACCAAAGCTGAGGAGGGGAAGTGAAAGTGCTACCTTGAGAAGAAAAAGGAGCACAGCAATCTTTATAGGTGCGGCAAGGATGCTGAGGCACTGGAGGCTGCCCATAACCCTGTGTGAGAAACAAGGGTGACCAGAAGAACAGTTCTTCTAGGCCTAAAGAGACTCCCATTGAGAAGTCAGGCTTCCTAACATGCTTTTCATAAGGTGAAATTGCCGTCTTTTAGCTTTATGCTGAAATCCCAATTCCTTTCTTCAACAGAGTCCTAAATTCTAGTGTTCTGATATGGCAAATACACACACAACATGTTCAAAGGGGTTTATAGAAAAATTCACCAAGTAGACCATCTGTTATGGGCTGAATTGTGTCCCCCTAATATTCATATTGAAGGGGAGTTGAAGTTCTATCCCTCTGTACCTTAGAATGTGAACAGGACCTTGAAAGAGGTAATTAAGTTAAAATGAGGACTAATTCCATATGACTGAAAGGCCTAAGAAGAAACTAATACTGTGATCTCAGACTTCTTGTCTTCAGAAGTGTGAGGAAATACTCTTCTGTTGTTTAAGCTACCCAGTTGTGGTATTTTGTTATGTCAGCCCTAGCAAACTAATATGCCATACTACTACAAATAGTGAACAGAGAATAAGAGAAGATAGGCATCTGGTAAGAGAGAACAGGAACAGAAAAAATGTTTCTTTCTAGAAATAAAGATCAAACACTGAAGTGAGAAGGCAGTTAGTGGCTCCCTCTCTTTGCTTCCAAAACAATTTGACCAGATTGGTGGTGACACTCAGGCCATACCACACTTAGCTGCTGCTGAGTCCGTCTTTCCCCAGCAGACTCAGAACTCCTCCCAGGCAGGCAGTGTTAGCCATCCATCTTTGTTCTTTTGACGTGAGGGATGGCACTCAACACATAAAAGGAACTATATATACACATACTGTTTTTACTATTGCTGAATAAACAACAACAACAAAAAGGTTCAGTTGAGAAAAGAAAGAGACTTTTTTCCTCCTGCATTTTAAGCGGACTTAATTTAGACAACTGGGCAAAGATTTGAACTGATTCAGGTTTCCCCCAAACTGTTCACTTATCCCTACTCAGGCCAACGCACCATGGGATGACGCAGTCAAATGGGACCGTTTTGTGCTGCCATCCTGGAAATGGATTTTTACTTCATATATTCCCACTATGTTCCTCTAAAACCTCCTTTGGATCCATTATGCCATCTGTGTACATTCTGAAGCAGTTACAATAATAATGCCAAAGTTCCACAGAAATAAGATTTTTAAAATGTTATGTAGTTACAGTGAATATGCAGTAAACACTTCACCAAAGTGAATAACAGTCCTTTACCATTTTAAAGAAAAGGGAAAAATACCAAATGGGGTTAATTCACATTATGGACTAATGGCCTGTAAACTTTCATTTGAAAGCAAAGCACAGAAAAAAGCTTTGACAAGAGCTACTTTTCACCATAAAAATAAACCTCTTTCAAATAATTCGTACGTGTTTTTTCCAAGTCAAATTGCCAAGTTTCAAACAAAAATTAAAACCACCATCTAGTTACAGCCCTTAAAATATGGGCTTTATAGTGGAAATGGTAAAACAATCTTAGCAGAGGAAATGTTGCTAGGTACTGACAGTAAAGGAGAGTCTACAGTAAATACTTTACACACCAGTTACAAGGCACTTGTTGACAGACGATACTTAGATTTCATTCTCAATAATATCAGTGTGTGTAACGACTGTCATTTTTCACAGAACTTTTGATGTTAACATCTACTGGTGTGCTGGCCTTGGTCCAAATTGAATAAATATGTTTGCCCTCTGGCTCCCATAGATTTTGAATTCATTTTTATAGAAGGTCTCTCTTGAATAGCAAATCAGAAGAGAGAATTTCACTCCAACTTATAAAGTGAGAAGGGAATTTTATATATGTTACATTAATTTAAATGTATGGAATTTTCCCCTATAATTGTTTTCCTCTGTACTACTATAATATTCTTGTTTCCCAACTGTTCCCTCTGGACTACAACTTGTATTCAATTCTCTTTTATTTAGAAACATCCAAGCAATCTATTCAGTGCCCAGGACAGGGATTCTCAAACTTGGCTGCGTGTCAGAATTATCTAGGGGGACTTTCCAAAAAGTATAGCTTCCTAAGCTCTAGTCCACACCTTCTGAATTAGAATCTCTGGGCATGGGATCCATGGATTTGGATTTTTAATAGGTGACTCTTAGGAGAGAGCTTATCAGATGTCATATGTTAGGAAATCCCTGCTCCTGGACCACTGGTAAGCATGACCCAAAGTTTTGGTTTATATCCCAACCCTAACAAATACCGTAATACCATTTAGCATTAATGCATGATCTGAAAATGCTCAAACAGATAAATTTCAGCTAATTCACTCATTCCTAAATTGTAATTTAGAAATAATAAATAAGCAGGAACCTTAAAGAAAAATAGTTCCAGTAGTTAAAATTCAATAAATAAAAGGCCTCTTGGAACATATCATGAAGTTCCTTTTGTCACACACGTTTTGTACCCTTCTAATTTTAATTTCTTTAGCCTTCTGACACGTAATTCACTTAGTGCTGTTTTTGTCCTGAACTTCTGGGTAGCGTATTTAACAGAAGCAAACAACAAAAGTGTCCTGATTATTAAATTTGCGAAATGGGACTATAGTAAACCATGTGAGTATACAGATCCTGTCAATATTTCTCCCCTTCTGCCAAGCAAAAAGCTTCCAAGTGGCTATTCTCTTCCCTCTTATTTTCCAGGGGAGCAATGTGTACTCCTCAATGTTGTCTAAGAAGCTGGGCTAAGTCTCCAGTGACTTTCCAGATCTCTCTATATGTCTCCAAGACTCATTGGACTTTTTAAAAATTGCTGATCATGGAAGACTGATTCAGCCTCTCAAATAAGAATTTTAGTGCTGTATAAAAGAGGATTCTATCCCCTCAGAGTCTAAGAATGTCTAGGGAACAACCAAGGATGGCTAGGTTCAGAAAGAAGTAATGGGGGAACAGGTTCTAATATACTAATACTCAGAAAGAGGTAACGGACCTAATAGAAACAGACAATATATTCACCAGAGAATCAGTACTTAATTTTCTCAACTCATAGCTACCTTTAAGAAAAGGTCCTTGGGGGTAAAAGAAAAAGAGCTATTAACGATATTACAAGTAAATATGGGCTAGACATTAGATATGAATGGAAGTTCTAAAATCTAGTAATTAATGGACAGAAGGATTTTCTTCTCTATATAAATTTTACTAATTCATGTAAAATATGCTGCAAAGATAGCCCAAGTCCTGCTGAACATCTAAAGACAAGATACTAATATCCAAACCAACTCCTCCTCTATCAGTCATAAAATGTTTTATATCCAAGGACAGCAAGACCAAGTAAGTCAAGGCATTTTTGAAAATAATTTGAAAACAATGAGACCATTCAAGGGCAGCATGGTGATTCTTATGTGAGGAAACCCAGCAATATTTGTAGGTTTTTATATGCTGTTGAGGTTGCCTCCAGCCCTAATACCGACCAACAAAATGTTGAATTGATATTCACTGACAAACAACATAAACACTCTGTAGGTAACTAATAAGAAAAATGCGTAAATTTGCCTTTTCTATTTTTTACAGGTAATGTAAAAGTTGTCAATGTGATTTTCAGGTAGGAGAAAAAAACATGCACTTGTCATGACATTTTCAAATAATTTAAGTTATGTAACAAAGCTTTTTTCAGATCCATTAAGTCCCACAGTGCCTGCAAGTCTTGTATAAGGAAATGCCGAGTGCAGAGGGTTCCAGGCAGCATCTGATCACATGGGCTGAGGCACCTATACATTCTCTTAGGATGGAGTCAATAAAAGAAATCCACCCCATCCCTCTCTTTCAAAATGAACCTAGGCTTTTAGTGAACAGCAGACACACTCCAGGTCTATTTTTTCGTGGTAATATCTGGTTTTTGTAGGCCCAATGATCACGTTGCCTATGCTTACTTTATTACAATTACTAAACTCTACAGAAAATAGCATTTTCAAAATATAGCACTTAAAGAGTCCTTTTTGTACTGTTCCTCCCCCAAAGCCTTGCTTTAATAGAAAACAATGTGAGACAGGCTGTGGGGGCCAAAGTGGGGATTCCTATGCTACCGCCCCTCATGCAGGGGATCCCTGTGTTCACATATGCCCCCACAGCCTGCTTCTGAGACAGCAATGTGATGCTGCGTGAACAGCCTGACACAGTAGGTCTGGCTTTTATGATGCAAATTTCCACTTTAAACTCAAAGGTAATTACAGTATTTTAACATACCTTTCTCATGATCGGTAATAAGTTTCTCCAGTGCACACTCCGCATCAAAAATGTACCGGTAAAAGCACAGCTGGGTGTACAGGGACTTGTCAGAATA